CACCTACCCTACCTAGGTAAGCAACAACAATGCAGACTAAAACATACCTTGAAAATAATTATGGTAAGGGATCCTTTCTGAATGTATGTCCCCATCCTGATAAGTCGCCATATGTAGTGCTATTGATCATCACTCTATAGTGTTTTCCAAAATCATTGACACAAACTTCAACACCAGAATTAACACTAGTGTTCTAATGGTAGAATCGAGGCTGAAATTGAAAATCATCAGAAAAGTGTACATGAAAAACCATATTCTTACCAATGCCTTCCAAAATGAAATTCGACCATTCTTGCTGTGGAGTTTATCACTGGGTATGAGATTCGAAAAAGCAAACCCGATATTTGATACGATTATTCATACATTTCATTTCATACGCTACAAGGCTGTTGTACATACATGATGAAGACAAAACTAGCAAACCTGAATAAATAAACTACCAGAACTGAACACAAAGAAGAATACTTGATTGAATGAAAATCCGGAAAAGTAAAGGAATTTATCGATATTCAACAGAACACATCAGGGACCTGACAGTGACAAAGTTTTGACACTTGATAATAATAATAATAATCCAATATAACCTAAGTTATTGGAAAACAACCGAATGAGAGCTAAACAAATGACTTCTCCGCAAAGGACGGCAAGTAAACCCCTCTGGTGGAGAATACACTGAACTGAGTGATTGGACAGTCATGTAGTACTCGTCAGACAGTCCATTTAGCCGTCATTGACAGTAACATCAAAAAGTGAAGAATCAATAGTTATCGACAGAATACGGTGTGAAACAAGAGAACGGATCTAAAACAATCATCATGAACACATTGATAAAAACATTGATCCGTAACATTTATTGGGTTATTTTTGAAGATTCAGATTAATCTATTGAAAATAGATCATTTCTGTCGACTGCTATTTCTTTGTTTATTGCTTAGTTCTAGAGAAAAATAAAAAATGCTCAGAAACACAAGAAAAATTCAATACCCTCTCTAAAATATACACGATCTCATATCCTCCTTTTCGGAAACTATACGGTAGTATATCATTATAAATTATAATTCCAACTTATATGCCGAAGAAATATCGAATAACGCTTGGAGATCACGTTCAATGACAAACTGGTCAGAGTCAAAATCCTGCAAATGAAAAGAAGAATATAACTGAGTATCTTTTGCGTAATCATGAATATTGCTCTTTTTGATTGACTAAATAGGATAGAATAGAATGGAATTTTATTTGACCAAGTTACAATTCTTATGTTTTTGACAAGTCACTGGAAGTACAAAATGTTTTTCAAAAACAATTACAGAATGAAATGAGCCTCGTGAGACGCCTTTGAAGAGATTAGAATCATCTGAGATCAAACATCGATTAAAACACTTCCTCATAACGAGTGTTACTGCATCCACAGAAAAGCCAAGCAATCTACTCATAGCAGCTCCATCTGTTCATCTTCGAAGTATTCCTAAATCACTCGTTTTCCATCGCAATTATACCAGAAGTCCGAATCAAATCGCTCACAAGAATAAAGGATTCACTCGAAGCCAAAATCTCATTTAGTTGAAGTGGTATTCTATTGATTCATCAACCACAGTTCGTAGATGGATGTTCAGTAATCAAGCAGTCCCTTTGGTGAGCTTATGCATCGAGCAACCTCAATCATCAAAATAATAGTAACTACGATCAAATGATGCCACCAGGACAAGTGTATTCTCTATCATCATCCACTATTTAGACTACAGTATGATTTCATAAAATTTCCTCCGTTTTTCATAAATAGCATCTATCTAGTCTTGATTCTTTTATTCGAGAATCAGAATATGATTCATTTGTTTTTTGGGTGACCTGAGAATATTTGAGTCAGTGACGAGTAGCGCCATTATTCTTCATTCCACATCTTCAACTTTACTTGAGTATGTATGAGGCATTATCAATGTCAGACCCCCTGTATACACGTCATACGTGAAAAGTGAATGAATTCACAATTGCATATAGTGGGAGTCCAGATATTAAGCGATAGACGAGGATAGAATCATGACATGTTCATGCATTACTCCTCATGAATAATGAACATGGAGATCTTCGTGTAGTGCATCAACTTTGATAATTAAGCTGGATGTAGAGGACTTAGAAGTACGAATCTGGTTAGTTTGGTAAGTATGTAGAGGAAGCACGATGCCGTATACTATCAACTACAATGAAGAGATTTATGTATCCTCAGCTATATGAACATAGAATTCATGATGATTATTGACAAACATAATCTTACCACAACTAATGAACACTTTTTGAGTGGATGAATTAATTATATCTATTATGTTTCCATAATTTTTTGAAGACTGATGTTTGTAATTGGATAGTTATCATTTATCAATCTGATTTTCTGTTCAACCTCATCAATGGATTCGTCATCAAAATGAGTATCTAGAGGTGCATTCAGTAATTCGAAAAATGATTTCATCTGATTTGTCTTCAATTATTCGTGATCCATCAAAATGAGTAAGTATCTAGAGGTGCCTGCAGTAATCCGAAAGATGTTTTTATCTGATTTGTCTTCAATTATTCGTGATTCATTGAGTTTCTTGATCTTCGTAGGTGAACCAAACTGGGGAGGAGAACATGTTTGAACTGAAATTGATTGATGTCTACAAGATCAGTTGAATGTCGTTCAACGTAATATAGATACAGGGTGTCTATAGATGATCGTAACATCGTAGTAGCCGTTGAAATATTTTCTCCATTTGCCGCCTCTCATTTATGGAGATTCACACATTCGAATTTAATTTTTGACATCAATCATTATACTGTCATAGCTGATAAATTCACAAATATCAGTTTTTCGTTAAAATTTTCAAACGATTCTGTTTTCTACTTCGTGATTGTCGTGTTGAAAAGAGGGATGGTTTATTCCTCGGAGCAGAATACATTTATTCTAATGTTTTATTGTCGAAATGGCACATTCATCAATGGTGAATGGAGTTACTCGGTAGTAGCCTGCAAGGATGAGTACCTGGCGAAATATCCTAATGTACAGATTCAAGAATCTTCTTTGAACGCTCACATCAGAACAGTGATCGACAGATTCATCCAAACTGGAAACGTTAATAGAAAGAAATCAACAGGAAGGCTTCAAATATCGGAACAAGTTGTCGAAAATCTAAGGGCGCGTGTTGAGCAAAATCCCCAAACGTCATTGGAGAGATTATCTTCACAATCTGGTGTGCCACTAAGTACATGCCATAAAGTGCTCAAGAAAAGATTGCATGCACACTTACAAGACCAGTGTACTACAGCAACTGTTGAATGGTGTCGCGTCAATTGGACGTGGAAAATTGGACGCACGACTATTGGTCGCAGTCAATTGGACGCGGCGACAATTGGACGCGGCGACAATTGGACGCGGCGACAATTGGACGCGGCGACAATTGGACGCGGCGACAATTGGACGCGGCGACAATTAGACGCGACGTCAATTAGAAGCGGCAACAATTCGACGCGGCGATAATTCGACGCGGCGACAATTGGACGCATGCGTAAATAAAAATAATTTTATAATTCCAATGAAATTCATTGTATAAAATATGAAATACTGATGGGCTTATATCCATAACTATAACAAATACCTATGGCCTCGTTTGACAATTATTTTCCTATCTCATATCGTAATATGAATTTACGATACGAATATAGTACAATATTTTAGGTTAGTTAGGTTAGGTTAGATATTTGTTATATTATAGATATGAGCCCTGCATATTCCATGCAATAAATTTCATTGGAATTATAAAATTATTTTTATTTTCGCATGCGCTCAATTGTCGCCGAGTCCAATTTTCGTCGCGTCCAATTGTCGCCGCGTCCAATTGTCGCCGCGTCCAATTGTTGCGGCGTCCAATTATCCGCGTCCAATTTTCGTGCGTCCAATTGACCACGTCCAATTGTCGGTAATCCCTGTTGAATTGTTTATGTTCATTTTGATAGAATGTCCTGTATTAAGTATCATGTATGTACTAATGACATGAATAACATACAGTTGACAGACGTTTTATGAAAAAGGTCATTCTCATTATATTTATAATACAATTTTCTCAATATAACCAAGAGCAACTTCTGCCAATAGATATCCCACGTCGTCTGGAGTACTGCCAATGGTTCCATAATAATCTCAACGATGACCAGCTATTGGACCTAACTTTTTTCAGCGATGAGGCTTGGTTTCATTTGTCTGGATACGTGAACTCACGAAATTTTAGGTTTTGGAGACCTGAGAATCCCCACGATTTCATTGAGACTCCACTACATCCTCAAAAATTGGGGTGTGGTTAGCAGTTTCTCGTAGGCGAATATATGGACTGATTTTTTTCGATGGCACTATCAATGGTGAAAGGTACAGACAAGTGATGTTAGAACCATTCATCAATCAACTTTATGATGAGGATATTCGAGTTGGCTATTTTCAGCAAGATGGGACCACTGCCCACACCACACGTGCAAATTTCACGTTCTCCAGATTTGGCGCCTTTGGATTTCTGCCTTTTTGGATATTTGACAGACGAATTATTCAAGAAAGACAATAATAACCTTAAAGAGCTGCAAGCCTCATGTAGGTTAATGAAATAAACCGTCATTTATTACTTCTTTGATAAATATTTTTGATTTGTTCCATAATTTTTCAAATGGAAAGAGAAGTCAACAGCCACTACGATGTTACGATCATTTATAGAGACCCTATATAAAAATGAATATGGACTTGAGAAATCAACAAGGTTGTCTTTCATAACTCTTTAATAATGATCAAAATCGTCTTCAGAGGAACATGATCTATTCGAAACAACGAATTTAGTTGCATTCCTCATAACAAAAAGAGCAAGAGACCTTTTAGTTTCAACTAGCCTGCAATATTTGAACCACATAAACCCATGAATCTCTGAGACTATCTGAAAACGTCATTATTACGACCCACAGGTCTATACATATCCTGATAGTTTCATTTTTTGCAGGGTGATTCAGGAGGTCCCTTAGTTCTTCAGCGACCAGATGGAAGGTACCAATTGGCAGGTACGGTATCTCATGGTATCAAATGCGCCGCACCCTACCTTCCAGGAGTCTACATGAGGACGCAGTTCTTCAAACCTTGGATTACCTCGATAACGGGGGTGACAGCGCCGTAAAACAGCGGAATGTTTTAGCGTAATCATGGAAATGAAACTACGAAATTTTTATTGCAAAAAATCAGTGAGCTTTTTCGAAACAAATTGTTTCAAAGAAAACATTAATTCAGTCCTTCTTTTCTTCGAGTTGAGACTTATAATTTCGTGTTGTATTGACTCATCCGTTGCCTGATGAAATTCCAAAGTGAATATAAAGATCTCCACGAATCATTTTTCCACACACAGTGGATTCTTTAAGTGGAATCAATAAATTGAGTGTTAGCAAAACATATACCAAAATATTTCGTTTTGAATTGACTCGGTCGTTACTTGACGGAAATCCATAGCAAATGTAAAAACTTCACAAACAATGAGATTCCCACAATTTTTTTTCAAGCACACGACACCGTAACTTCGTCAGGTGATATACTGGTACGATGAACTAAACTAACCTTGGCTTGCTTATTTATCCTACTTTCCCTACCTTAGGGATTAGTTACCTGTAAATAAATTCGATGAACTTTCATTTTCGGAAATTCGGCACAATATCTACATCAAAATACGGTGTACCAGACTTACTTGAAAGAATTGATAGCAAATACATATTAATACCTACTAAGAAAACAAATTCAACAGTGGTGAACTATTGAGGTCTAATTGATCGTTAAGTAAAATTCCAGAAATTTTCAGTTTTTTGATTTCTAATGATTCAAAATGATTGAGTTTCATTGCTTCATTTTCTACGTGTAGAATTTCGAAATTATGATCGAAACAATGGTTTTCTTCTAATACATGGTTGGCGTATAATGAATTTGTTTCTTTTTTTTTCACTACTACTACTGTGTTAGCGAAATATGTCGTGTGTTTGAGAGAAAAATGTGAAAATCTTATCGTTTGTGAAGTTTTTACATATACAAGAATTGATTCGATAGAAAAGCGCACATTGTAAGTAAGAGAACCAATTCTAACTGAGAATAATCTATTCCAAATTGGATCGAGTTTTTGTCGATTCAACAGGTTCACATTGAAAATGGTCAATTTTGAATCAAAGTCATTACATTCAGATTACGTAGCATTTCAGTTCATGGAATAGAACACAAGAGTTTTGATGCGTTCATATTGATACATTGATATTGATGCGATAGTTTTCGTAAAATGAATAGCAGCGTGTCTATACTCAATTACTCAACCCAGATATTCCTGAGACATTGTTTTTAATATGTAGTATTTCATTACCACACTACATTCAGGGCACTCAGATGACAATATCTATGGAAAAAAATCGCATGAGAAATATTATTTCTCATCGAATAATATTCTATTGTACTATTAAAAGGACCGTAGGACTTCAAACTACTCATTAGATATTTGTTGCAACATCTAAATTCTCTCAGCATAAAGATAAAAACACTATTTGACGCTTGATACGATATCACATTTCGTGTACAAACTGATGTAACCTCCTCCTTGCACAGGCAGTATTTTCTTTGAGTATCGTTGAAACTAATCAAATAATGAAGTGTCATGCAAATTTGCTGAAAAGAAGAATTACTGCTAGTGCTCTTGTGAGTTTCTAATCAACTCACGTTGAGCATGACTGGAAATATTTAATATATCTCATATTCTCTGCAATTCTTCGTTACATACCATTCGGAACTCCTCATGAGATATCAAATGTTTTCGTTGAATTGATAATGAAGAAGTTTTCCATAATATGTAACTCACGTATAAACACGCTGTATATACAGGGTGTTTATACGGTTCCTAACTGCAGGTGGTGAATCGTTAGGTCATTTAAGGAAGACAATTTCTTTTTAACATATGACCGGAGTTGCTTCGTTTCTGAGATACAGGACGTTGAAACCGAAATAAAAAGGTAATTATAAAATATCATGAATATCCTGGAACCGATTTGGTTGAAATATATGATTCTTTCATTTGAACTCTTGAGGCGCTTATTTAGCCCTATTTGGATTGGAATTATTATGGCCAGTGGCGTCTCAGTGGGCACCACAGCCAACAATATTGTTAAAAAATGTACACCACTGACTTTTTCTGGTGGATTTTGATTTTTTTCAGATTGAGCAATCCAGCATTCAACTTTTTGGTTCCATGTATTCTCTTCATATCCAGCTTCGTTTTCGAAAAAAAAATTTAAGCCACTGTATTTCATATCATGAACACCTGCATTGGAAAAATGAGTTTTCAATTATTTCCGTCAAAAATGTAATTGGCATACTTGATTTGCTGAAATTTTAAAAAAATTTACAAATGAAAGTACCAAATTTCAACCAAATCGGTTCCAAAATATTCAGGATATTTTATAATAACCTTTTTTTCCTTTAATTTGAACGCCCTGTATCAGAAACGAAGCAGCTTCGGACATATGTTTATAGAATTTTTTCTTCTCAAAATGACCTAAAAAATCACACCCTGCAGTTAGGAACCGTAGTTAGAAAACACCCTGTATATTGATTATGTCAGCTGTCATTTTTCGATTTTCATTCAACAAAAGAAACAAAATTCCATCATTAATAGCTATCAAAATGTATCAACGAGTTTTCATGTCATATAAGTAGATGATAGGTGACCCCCAATCACACGAGTGTTGCAACGTAGGAGCAATTATCGAAAATCTTTGCTATTCTAAGCTGTCCGGTCGGTTGTTCGGTCCAAAATTGGACCAATTTGTTCCAATTCTCAATTTAATCATTATGTGTTTTGATATTCTTATTCTCAATTTCGAACAGTTTCAGTCGAATATGTGATGGTCGTTATCAATCCAAGTGTGTTCATTTAAACGAATGTGTTAATCACCAAATTGGAATAATCAGTCTCAACTCAAAATAGAGAAGATGAAGTACATAAATCTATGTCAGGCGATGAGGAGTGGAAGAGGAGGATAATTGTTTCATTGTATTTTATTCACGATAATTAAGCTTCCTTGAATTCTTCTTCATTTTCATATTTAATTTATCTCAAATTATCGCCACCGTGTACTAGTTTTTTTTCATGAGCCCTGTGATCACATGCGAATTCATTACATTTCGAGTTCTCACATCGAACATCACATCGATTTCACATGATTCCTTCGTGAAACAAGATATTATGCCATTGAATCGTGAGAATTCATAATTGTGATGAATTATACCTGAGTTAACTAATTTATTTTTTAACGTTTTTGTTGTTGATGTATAATTGTAATTATTGTAAGTATTATTTATTTTTATTTTTAGGAGATAATATATATTTATACAAAATGTATATTGATTTTATTGAATCATTCATTACCTTTTATTCTGACAATGAGGCGTCATGAACAGGTTGAATAGCAGATAAGATGTTTCTTGACGGTTAACCAGACAACGAAACATGACAATATAATTTTGATAGAGAGCCCATTCGATTATTTTCTACTCAACAAAATACACTCATCAAAAGAAGCTTACTGATAATCTGGAAACACTATGTATTTATTTTTATTCTCAGAATCTCTATCGATTTCCTAACAAATTTTCTAGTTATTGCCCTATACCTTCATGTAACTGTTTGAGATATGAAAAATTCAATTTCAGTGTTATTTTGTTGAAAACTTCAGCTACTGATTCAGCTCAATCTCAGTTACTAGAATACGAAGTGATTCAAAAATATAACTATTCATCGCCATATTAGCATGACTAACCGTATTTTCAACCATCTGTATTGAATTGAGGGACGCTGACTATTACATGCAGTTATTAAATGAACCAATCACAAGCTAAAGTCCAGTTCGGCTCAACGTTAACACCTTAGTTCACTCTTGACTCTGATTGGTCTATTAAGTTTGGCGTTTCCAATGTGTGTATGTGACAGTAATACGTCGAATATAAGTAATAACGCTGTACACGCATTATGCATATTTCACCCATCTCAGTAAACAACATCACGAGAAATTTCTTGCGATTGTGAAAATGATAGCAGTCAAGATATCCTACTTATCTATAATACCTGTATACCATTCATAGTTATAATTGGAAAATATAAATTCATTGTCATTACTGGTTCAATCAAATATGTATTTCGTTCGATGTCATCATTTTATCAATCTCCATTCTATCCGGATTTTTCATCTCTTACTTTCATTCTGATGGAAAAATCCAATTCATCAATGTATTGCATAGACCTGCACGTTGAAAAAATCCCAAGACGTCGCATCATCATCAAAGGCTTGGATGACTTATAACAAAGGGATCTCGGTGAATAAGGATCACAAGCTGATGATGGTCGTAATTGATTATTTCTCCTAGTTCCTATATGAACTCGATCATCGAAATTTTAAGCTTCGTGTCTTCAATGTCAAAAATGATTTTGTACTTCTCTGTTTCTGACTGTTTTCTCAGGCGATGACATAATATGTACCAACTTATACATGAATTGGCCGACTTCTCAGCAATCCGGACAGCATTGCCCTGTGAAGTTTAAGTTCAGTGTTGTGAACATTCGGTATTCATTCTAGGATGGATGTCAGTTTTGACAGGAATTGTATTGAACTCATTTGTGTGAACAAGCTAATCTTGTTCCATTTGATCTTTTGAGATCGCAGATGCCAGCACCTGTTCTGAAACCAGGCCTGATCGGTTTAAAAAATATCGGGAACACTTCTCATGAATAGCGTCGTTCAATGACTGTCTCAAACTGAGTGGCTGTTGGAATATGCTTACATCAATGATTTGATCAAGAGCTCATCAAGCAAAAAGGGGACTATGATGAAAGCATTTGCACATGTTATAGGAGAGCTTTTTGTCGAACGATTCGTCTGTCCGAGTCGTGTGTTCGGACAATCTGAAACATCGAAGTCAAAGTTTGGCACCTCGATTCATGGCCTCCTCGCGACAAAATGCACAAGGATTTCTTTGTTTCCTGCTAGAAGAGCTGCACGAGGACGTCAACATGGTCGTAGATAAACAAAAGCCGAACTCAAAGAAAGTACTCATGGAAATCGACGAATCATCGAGTTTTAATGTCGAAGCAATGAATTCGTGGTCGAGATTCTTGAGAATGAATAATTCCTAGTTTGTCGATAATTTTGCACCTTTTTTGGCGATTGTTCGGAAACCGTCGACCCATTTTGAGAGTTGTCTTTACCGATACCACAGCAATCATGCCAACTCAAGTTGTTCGAGATTTCAGACGGCGAGGAGAAACCAACTTGCTCGATGTGTAAAGGAAAAAGAACATGTTTGCATGGAGTCATTTCCCATTCACAAGTTCACATTTTCATTAATTTCATTCACAATTTTGGTAATACACCTGAAACGTTTCTCGCTGACTGTAGAGTTTGGTGAGAAACTGAACACAATTGCCGACTTTTCCTTGATCGGTTTGGACATGAGCCTCTATGCAGCTGAAGACATCGTTCCATGTCCTTACAATCCGTACGATATCTCAAATCACAGCGGTACCACCTACAGCGGACACAGCCTACTGCAGACATCTTCATACGAAAATTTGGCACTAGTACAATGATTCTTTTGTTTCTTTAATTCCATAGAATTCTCTTGTCAGTGGGGATACTTATATTATTTTTCAGCAACAAGAGGCTCACCCCAAATACGAATTCAACTACGGAGTTCAAGACGCCTCTACTGGTGACAACAGATCCCAACACGAACAATAACGTGCATGGTATCTTCAAAATATTGTTATAAAAAAAATTACTGAAAGGAAATATAGTGCTGATAATAGTGGATTATGAACCCAGTGACTGAATTGGCACTCCCATTTCAAATTCGAAATATTTGTAGATCGATCGCTGGGAGAAAGAGCTAACATCCGCTGGGGAATTATAGAGGGTTGCTGATATGTGTGGAAACACTCGTTTTCTGACTCAACAAAAAATGTTTCATATAAAGACTTTGATGATCTTCTGGGTTCAACCCAGTGGCTAATGTTGATTTCTCGTAACTATCATGGTAAGGTCATAGGTTTAAACGCAACTAGCCCTGATCGAATAGTTTGCTTATATACTTATATGAATAATATTCGTTGACTGATACTGAAATTGTTATTGATATAAGGCTCGAAAACACCCCCTTGGGGTGATCCATGACTGAATAATATCAGCGAACAAAATATTTATATATCATCAATGGAAGGTTTCTTTTCATGCTGTACTTATGAATAAATTTTTGTACACCTAAAACGAAGATTCTGAATGAATAAATATCGTTTGGTGTGGGTGAAGAAACATATATTACCACTTGATAAATGAATATTATCAAGAAATAATCATAATTTAACTATGCACGAGACTTATTATTCATGGGGTCGTGAACAAATAATTCGGCTTTCTCAAACAAACGTTCAATGAGCCATATTTCAATAACGGATTTGGTAACAGTTAATCATATTTATTCATTACAACCAAACTCTTCCTTTAGTGTGTTGTTTCAAATATGGCACAGTCAGCTGTTTTCCTCCTAAATGGATCACTTTGTATGTGAACAATCCAGGACATTATCAAGCACCTGAAGGTCTACAGTTTGAGCACCTTTTAGTTTTCCAACAAGTAAACGAGTAAAACTCAATTACCAGATAGCTTTCAGCATTTTATATTTTATCTCATATTTCTACAACAAACAATCACAAACACGCCAAACTTCAAAGTATCGTCAGTTACAATGATAGCAGTTCGAATAAATATTTAAATACAGCGTGATCCATTTGAAAAAACTGCTGACTACGCCATATTTACGATAATATGATAGCTACCAAAAATCAACAGGTCACTGAGTAAAACAGAAAGAAATTGATGTAATAGTCTTGAAAAAAGTACTTCTGGTTCAGTCAGGAATTAGCTATTTCCACACATACATTCAAGGAATAAAAATCTTGGAATGAGAGATCAATGGGTGATGACTGTTGGGTGGGTATCGAATTGTTGAGGAAATCAAGAAGTAATGTGCATTGTGAGCTTTGCTATGGCGTTAAAGAAAAGAATTCAGTTTCTTCTGTTGAAATCCCTGAGGGATTGAAAGTGTTACTCTAAGCCCTGAAGTGCATCAATTCCTTTCGAATTGTTACTGCCCAGCAAAGATCACGGGAAGCTACAAGCATTTTGTAAGATAGGAAGAGGTTATACA